GTTTTAAGTTATTTAAGAAAATTTTTATTGCCAAGGAAACATCCTCAACTTGTAAATCGACTTTTTTTAAGCTTAATTGAATAATATGCATCAATTTTTTTTACTCGCTCAAAATTAGAATAAATTAAAAAATTTTCACAATTTTTTTCAACACTGGAACAACTTTTTGAAAATTTTTAAATATTGTTCGAATCACAATTAAAAGTGTTTAATAATTATATATATTTCTTGGGATAAAATCTCTGTTATCATCAAAATAGAAAATTGTTCCATTTTTGAAAACAAATTTGCGGCAAAGGTTTGAAGGTTTCATCACAAGCGTATGCGCAATTTTGTTATGTTTGGGACGACTCCCTAAGCACGAGTGCCCAATACCATCATTGATGTCATAAAAGAGTACCAAAGGGGGGCTCTTTGGTTGGTGAGTGGGTCGAATCCGTCCAATAAATCCACTCCTGCATCAAGTGATTGGATGCAGTCAAGTTTAGGATCGGATTATTACAAAAAATAGCTGAATCAGCTCCCTTCTAAATGAATACTTTACAGATGTTTTCAGTAGAAGCAAGGTTATCGTTTTTTATTGCAGCATATCGTATCTGCCAAAGTAGATCTTTGGACTTTGAACTTTTTCTTCTGCCTCGACCAAGTTTTATTGCTGATTATCTATTCAATCTAGCCGCCTTATTGCATACTAATATCTCTCCCAAGTTTGATGAAATCATGGCCCGAGTTTTACAGCCCTCAATGTGAAGTTCGCCTCATTAACTTTCCTGGAGTGATAAGAGAACTCTTGTAATGTGAGAAGGCTTGTAAAATGAATGAGATATAATCTTGAGAACATCGGCAAGCATATTCTATTCTATCAAGTTACACTTTTTGGTGCTGATTTTGAGCCTACTTATTGAATTTTCAATCTTTTTGATTTGTTTCATTTCATGTGACATTTCATTTAGCAATCTTGGTTTCAAAAACCGAAAATTTATTTACGAAAAAGATTTCAGGCCGATAAAATGACACAGAAAAGCGAAGAAACACTGTAAGTAAAGAATGTTCCAATTATTTAATAAAATTTTTTTTTTCATCAGTATGAAAAATTGTATTTGAACCCGGCTTGAGTTCCAATTCATTTTTGCTTTTTACTATCCGTTAATGCGTCAGACTTAGCACAACAATACTAGTTAAAAATAATGGTTTCGGATGAAGTTCTTCGTAAAACATTAACGATATTGTCATTCTAAGTCAAAAAATAAAACTGAGCGCCTGATGCAATAATTGAATTGATTTATCAGCGCAAAAATGAAAATTTTCGTCGCTCAGCGAATTAACGGGCAAACTTATCAATAGAAACTTTCAGCAATTTTTGGAAAATTTGGAAACAGCGAATTAACGGGCAAACTTATCAATAGAAACTTTCAGCAATTTTTGGAAAATTTGGAAACTTAAATTGTCAAACTTATCAATGGAAACTTTCAGCAATTTTTGGAAAATTGGGAAACTTAAATAGACAAACTTATAAATAGGAAACTTTCAGCAATTTTCGAAAAATTTGGAAAGTTTTAAATTCTTTGTAACTTTATCCAAACCTATAAACCTATAATTTGGTGAAAATCTACACTAATCGTCCAATTTTATTAACTCAATTTGACGAGGGTAATGTAGCCGCAGCTTGGCGTGATTTTATTTTAAACTATAATGAAGTAATTTTGAGATATTGAGATTACTTACTTTGCGCAAGAGACCGAATATTCAGGCCCGACTTTTTTGTGATTTTCTTTCCGAAATTTTGAAACTTAAATTGTCAAATTTATCAATGGAAACTTTCAGCAATTTTTGGAAAATTGGGAAACTTAAATAGACAAACTTATAAATAGGAAACTTTCAGCAATTTTCGAAAAATTTGGAAAGTTTTAAATTCTTTGTAACTTTATCCAAACCTATAAACCTATAATTTGGTGAAAATCTACACTAATCGTCCACTATACTGAAGTAATTTTGAGATATTTAGATTACTTACTTTGCGCAAGAGACCGAATATTCAGGCCCGACTTTTTTGTGATTTTCTTTCCGAAATTTTGTGATTTTGTTCTCGAAATTTTCTCGAAAAATGTTTCAATAAACTATTAACTAGGTGCAATTTATAATTGGCTTGGCTAGGCATTTTTCAACAATGAAATGTTATTATAGATAGTCTAGTGGTGTTCGCTGTTTTTTTTCTGTATGGCTTAAAATTATTTGATGAGGAAGCTGTTAAATTGTTGCAGACATAGGGAACGAATTGAACTCTTCTTCTTTTTTATAGGTACAAGACGACGTTCGGTCTCATAGACCAGGAGAAGAAGATGTCCTTTTTCGAGCGGAGACACACCAGGAAGTTCTGTGTCAACTTCATCCCCCAGGAGCAGGGCTGGAGGGCGGGGCAGGGGGGAAAGTGCAAGTGCGGGTATTCGAAACAGGACCATCTACGTAAGTCAAACTGTTGTCTCCGTTTTCACTGTAAAGAAGGGTTTTGCGCTCTTCTAATCTCCGGTAAAAATTCTGTATTTTATTACGACAAGCTGGAATTAATGATGTATGGGCCCGATTTCTCTATTCGTCTTTCGAAACAGTTTTCTGCACCGCAGGCAATTTTTCAATAACGTTTTTTTTTTCGGCGCTCGCTCTCGCCTCCAAAAAGTTGCAGTACAACGCTACAGAAAAGTTTTAAAGAATATTGACAAAAAAACATCAAGTTAATACCTAAGGAAAAATGTGGCAATCCGAAATAAAAGTAGGGGTTCGTACCACCCCCTCTTACTTCTTGGCAGGCTTCTAAATAATTAAGTTCTACAATTTTTCTAAGAAATTGCTTAGAACAGGTTTGTTAAGCTTTGCAGCACAAAAAAAATCTCTGAAACTCGGAACCTTTTTCTTCAAATTTTCTCCGAGACGGTATATTGTAGCTGTGTTGTGATTGTAGCGCACAGTAGTGCGAATGTGTGGTCCAACTCACAGGAGTGGCGGAGGGAACTGCACCTGGAGACAGTGGACTATGGCCGCAGGGGATTCAACTGCAAACTCAAATTCATCAGTCAGGTAGTAGCTAGACTTGCACTAGCATTCAGAGACGCAGGTTCGAGCACTGTCACTGCTAGACTAAATTGATTATCAGCATCAGAAGGCGACGGCCCATTCATATTCAGACAATTCATATAAAAGTATACAGATTTTTCAGCCAGCTTTTCAAAACGCTAGAGTCAAAAGAAATAAAATCGGAAATGGAGTTATTTCTCGGTTAAGGTGGCCGATATCCGGCTGAAATAACGCGCCCAGTACTGACTCAAGACTGAAGGGTTAAAAGCAAATAGGTTATTTAGTAAGCTAGAACATGTATAGAACATGATTAGAATAACTGTATCGAATAAACACTGTATCGTGGATACACTGTATCGAATAAACAAACGTTTACAAACGCCTTTTTATATAGATTTTAGATAGAGGTATTAGAATAGGCTTTCAGTTTAGATAATGACTGTATCTTGTTAAGGGTGTAGTGCAACTGGATAAACGCATGAAATAACGGCACCACGCTGTGACCGGTTAGATATGGCCTTGACTAATGACATATGAAATAGCAATACATAAGTAAATACACATGATAAACATAAATAAGCATGGGATAAACGAGGTACCGAAGGTCGCCTCAAGACATTCCCCACGGGAGGAAATACTTCATCCTTAGAATAAGGATTAGAACAGCACTGAGTTTAAGTAAACACATAACAGGGCCAGCCTGCATAAAGAAAAACTGCGAATAAGAGAATTGCACAAGACTGGCAAAAGAGTTTAACGTTTTGATGTCTGAGTTTTGTCATATATCAGACTGAGTGTTGTTCTCGTTTGGCTCCTCTGTAAATTTAGTCTTCTTAAAAGGAGTCGCCTGCTCCTGTGCAATTAGACGCGGTCGCTGGTGAATGAGCTCGATACGTTTGTGAGGAGAAGTAAGAGTCACGAGGGATTTGACAGCCGAAGACGATTGGTCCGACGATGCCTCTTCTTCTACTGCCTCAACCGAGTGACGAAGAGGGTCGCCAAAGAACTTTGTAGGCTTTTTACTACGAGCTGAAGCCCTATTCATTTCTGAGCTGTCCGGAGCCTGAGTGGGCTTAGGAGCCGCCACCGCGGCTTCGCTATCTCCGGTTTCTTTGTCGGAGTGAGTTATCGACTGAGACGAGGTAAGAACGCGTGGGTCTGGCGCCGACGCGTTTTCGGAAGATTGATCAATGGCTGTCGCAGTCTCTTTTCCGGGTGACAGAATCACCGCAGACGCCTTCTCTGGTTTTATAGGTGGCACCTGAGCGATAGGATCTTGATCTGGGATCGGGGTCGAAAAGGTTTGGGTCGTTGGTTTATTAAGTTTTACTACTGAACCTTCACTAGAAGAGGAGTCGGCTGTGAGACCAACTTTTCTAGGGCCTGCGCTGGACTGAACAGGTTGTTGGCCTTTCGGTCGCAAAGACGACTGCGATTTTGGGGTGATTCTGCCTTGCGATGTGGCGATTCTATCACCCAGCGTATCCTGAATTGGTGAAGTGTCACGAAAATGTGATTAAACTTTAGACAAACATGATTCTGCCTGTGTACTTTTCCTCTGCTTATGATGTACTTATTATTTGTAATCTTGACGATTTTGGGTCTAGCGGCAATTTTATAGAGAGGTTTTCCGGAAAGTCGGTCTATAGTTTTCCTGAATACTCTGAAAACACGATTAGGTTTTTTGAGAAGTTCTTTTTATAATTTACTTGTTTTGGAGGCTCGACCCGAGTTTCGCATGACACTGAGACGCTGGCTATGTGACAACGCTGGGACGGCTAGATCTGAAGCGTGAGCGTAGAATCTGAGGTACTTCTTGTTAGTCCTGTCGTTAAGCTATTAGCAAAATCCGAGTGGCGAGTTGCGAGTTCCCTCATAACAAGTCGTCTTTTCTCCAGAGATAGATTACGTTTCTGTCGAGCCCAAGCATTCGCTTTGGAAGGTTCACTCTCTGCCCCTTTTGAGCCAACCGAGAACATCGGGTCAAGTCGTGGTGACACATGATGGTTGGAACTGCCGCTAGGAACCACTTTAACTCTGTCTCTGCCATAATATTGGCTCGCCATTTAGGCAAGTTCCACTCGAGGGAGGAGATTGAAAAAAATGGCTTCAGAGAGTTCAGTATTAGATTTTCGTCTGAAATGGAGCTCAAAAGAAGACTTTTTGAGGACAGATTGTTTGTCTTCGAGTATTTGTTGTAGAGTAGGTTTTAGGTTAACAAAGTTAGGATAGATTTTTTTAGTTTCCAAATTGCTTTTGATTGTTTGAATTGTGCGTTCGACCAAACCATTGCCTCGACGGTCAGCCAAAAGTGTAAGAATGTGTTTTTATCCCTCGTGGATCACGAATTTGACCAATGATTTCCTTATTGAATACGGATTTGTGATCCTTTCGAAACGACTGTGGCCAGAAATAAATGCGAATTTACGGCGTAAAAATTTAGCGAAATGCAGTTGCATCTCTTGGTTAGGGAGCGACAACTCCAGTAACTGCTTAGAGGAATCAGATTTTAAGGTTGATTTTAGATTCTTACCAAAAAGGGTAGATTCTTTGCTGTCTTCGCAAGTGCTGATGATTCGGCAATTCAGGAAATGCCACCAAGTACACTCGGAGGGAGACATCATAGCCTCCCGTCCAGATTGAGATGGGTGAAGGTGTGCCAGAATGGCCGAACGCAACTGTTCCGTTCAGCTTCATTCTATGATTCTGTGTCAAGTTCATCCCTAGTAGCAGGACTGGAGGGTGGGGCAGGTGGAAAAGTGCAAGTGCGGATATTCGAAACAGGACCATCTACCTAAATCAAACCGTTTTCTCAGTTTTCACAGTAGGAAAGGGTTATGCGCCCTTTCAATATCCGGAAAAAGTTCTGTATTTTATCACGACAAGTTGGAATTATTGATGTATGGGCCCAATTTCTCCATCCGTTTTTTGAAACAAATTTCTGCACCGCAGGCAGTTTTACAGGAATGTTCTTTTTTTTCGGTGCTCGCTCTCAGTTTCAAAATAATTGCAGTACAACGCTACAGAAAAGGTTTAAAGTAGATTGACAAAAAACATAAAGTTAATACCTAAGGAAAAATGTGGCAATCTGAACTAAAAGATGGGGTTCATACCGTCCCCTCCTACTTCTTGGCAGGCTTAAAAACAATTGAATTCTACACTTTTCTAAGATTTTGTTTAGAACGGGTTTGTTAAACTATGCAGCTCAAACAAAAAATCTCTGATACTCGAAACGTTTTCTTCAAACGATCTCCGAGACGGTATATTGTAGCTGTTTGTTGATTGTAGCGCACAGTAGTGCGTATGTGTGTTCCAACTCACAGGAGTGGCGGAGGGAACTACACCTGGAGACAGTGGACTATGGCCTCAGGCGATCCAACTGCGAACTCAAGTTCATCAGTCAGGTACTAGCTAGACTTGCAGTAGCATTCAGAGACGCAGGTTCGAGCCTTGTCACTGCTAGACTAAATTGATTATCAGCATCGGAAGGCGACTGGCCAGCCATTCATATTCAGACGATTCAGTTAAAAATTTACAGATAATTCGGCCAGCTTATCAAAACGCTAGACTCAAAAGAAACTAAATTGGAAATGGAGTGATTTCTCGGTTAAGGTTGCGGCTGAGAAGAGGTTGACGAGAACGTCTTAAGAAAGGTTTGCAGATTGTTTTGCTCGAGAGTGTGGTCAAGAAATTTTATAGAACTTTCAGATGTATTCATTGATGTATTCATTTCATGAGTAAAGGGAGAGCAAGTTAAAGATAGAGGATCAGGTCGGAGACCATGTTTTCTGGCGTTGTTCAGTATTTACGATTTTCAGTTTGCATATTGGGTTGCTGCTGGCGTAGATTTCTCACGCATAAGTCATTCCCCCAGTGGCAAGCGAAGAGAGAACTTATTTGCTTACTGCAGTTTGATTGGTCGTGAAGGAAATTGAGCGACTCGTGGCCATCTAGCGACGAGCTAAAAAAAATCACCAGTTTCAACGCACGATTGTGATTGGCCGAAATTATTGGTGAATATAGAGCCGCCCCATTGTGGAAAAAGTCGGCCAAAGAGTTGTGCCATGTAGGCGGTTAGTACCCATAAATTAGGCTCTTTTAAATGCTCGAGGCACGCTCGCAGACCGCTGTAACTTCCATCCCATTTTGTTCTCGAGTTTTTAAAGGAGCCTTATTTATTTGTGCTTAGAATTTTTGCTATCTTTTGTTGATTATTATAAAATAAACTGCGATTCGTTCTTTCCCCCAAAAAAAGGATTGCCGACCGCAGGCCTTCAATGACGCTCGGAAACGGACTGTAAGTTTATGTAGATCTGGTATGAAACGTTGCAGTTTATTCAACGTTCCCATTAAAGAACGTAATTGTTTCAGGGTTCGAGGGGGTTTGAATGGCTTGATGGAAGCAATTTTTGAAAACCTTGGTTTGTAGCCATTTTCGTTGATTTTATAGCCTAATAAGACAAATTTTTTTATGGAAAATTATTATTTACTGTATTTCAATACCCATCCTTCATCGTCTAGTCTACGCATCAACTTGTTGAACAGCATGTTGTGATCCGAGACTTTCCTTTTGGTCAGGATTGGGATATCATCGAAGTAACAGATCATCCCCTCTAAACCGTTGAGCCTTCGGGAACTCAGTGGGCATGTTTGTGAGTCCGTTGAACCCCGTCTTGAACCTTTAAGTTCCAGTAGCCTCTCCACATAGGATGCTGAAGTTACAATGGCTGCTTGTTAGATCAGAAAGAGGTAATTGACTAACAGCGTAATTAAGAATTGGAGATGTGAACAACACTTGTCCCGGGACTTCTTTAGTAAGGATCTGAGCAGCGGAATTAATGAGTTCGTGCATATTGGGCACCTGATACTAGTTTTTCCAGATTTGGTTGTTCATAGGCTTCGCGTTTAGGGCTAACTGAGCAGAATCATCTTTCTTTGCGGTCAAGGCTATAGGGGCAATAAAAGGATTAGTCGTACAATTTAACAATTTTTCTTTATGTTTGCCCTTGACCAAATTTTTTTATCTCCTTTGCCAGCCGATCTTGAATATGTATAGAAACTTCTCGAATTTAACTTGTCGAGAGGTTAGAGGTGACTTGGAGTTGTTAAAAATTTTATGACACTTCGACCGACCCATTTTATTGAAAACATGAGCGTATCTTTTTTGTGAAGTGATTTAGCCAAAACTTGGAAATTGTGTCCACAATTAACTCCTCTGTCACTGAATCATTTTCTACCCTCTTTGTTTGGGTAGTAACTATCCCCAAATAAGCAAGTTTAAGCCAAACAGGTTGCGAGTTTTGTTTTCCGACACTAAAAACGACGCGGAGTCGACTTTCCAACCCTTGGGTGAGACCGGAATTATGATAGTGTCATACAGTTTGACAGTCATTTTTCAATCGAGCGACATTTTTGAAGATGAGGTTATGGTTTTTCTGGAGAAGTAGGATTGCCGTACGTTGGTTGAGATTATATACAGGACTACTCGTGTCCAAGATAGCTTAAAAAACTCGTTTGCGATCAAAGTTGTTTGCTGAGGCTGCGTGGTTTAGCTGAACCAGACTGAAGAAGTTCATGCTATTCATCTGTATTGCATCCTCCATCATTAATACGTCCTGTTTATGTTCACTTTTGTAATTGACGTCGATAAAATTACAATCCTCTATGATAGACGGAGAGGTAAGACCTCCGTCCTCTCACACCAGATTCGCCCCTTTCTTGGAGGAGTTGCAACATTTGGCAAAATACCCTCGTTTCTTACACAGATTGCAAGTAACTTCCCTTGCGGGACACGGTTTCCAATGTTTCATCGAGAACGGGTTCCGACAAAAACAGCACGGCTTGATGTAGTCGCTACTTTCCCCTGTTTTGAAGTGCGGTTTGCAGAGCCTCCCTTACCACAATAACCACTTCTCCCGGATTGAATCAAAAATGTCGGTTCTTGCTTAATCATGGTTATTCCTGAAGTCTGATTATTGTGGGGGTAACAATGTTTTGACATGTGCTGAGGTATTTGCTCCTTTCTCACATTCCAACGCTAGTTTTAGTGTTTTGTCGATGTTTTCATAGCCTTGATTAGTTGGCGTTGTACTTCGACGTTGCGAACTTGTCCGATGAACAGATCATTCAAATTTTCGCACTCTTGAGCCTAAGGCCAATTGCTAGTCGCGCGTAGAAGGAAAAAAAGTAACTATTACCAGCATAGATCTCGTGTTATACAATTTGATGCTGTCCACCGTATAATCACGAGCAGTTTAGAATAATGCTTCGCACGCATCGTGCAAGTCTTTGAAAGAGCACACAGGTTAAGGTGTAGATTGGAGTCTGTAAAGCGTTGCTTTCCTTCATTTCTCAAGCAAAAGAGTAGTCGTGATTTGAGGCGACCCGCTGCTTCATGATAGAACGAGTTCTGACCAATGCGAGGGCCTTTTCGTCGACGCTCTGCGTTCCACTCATCAGTTCTCCTAACAGCCGCCTGATCGCGGAGAACACATGCGTCTCGGGCTACTGCGTCTTCGGTAGCTGCCTGTGTCTATGGTTTTGGGGGAGGCTCGTCGACAATCAAAGCCGGGTCAGCCAGTACTTCGTTTGGAATAATGACACTATACCGGTTGAGTAAACGTTTACAAACGCCGTTTTAGATAGACTTTAGATAGAGGTATAGAATAGGCACTCAGTTTAAATTTTGACTGTAGCTTGTTAAGGATATCGCGCAACTTGCTAAACGCATAACATAACGGCACCACGCTGTTACCGGTTAGATATGGCCTTAAGTAGGGACATATGAATTAGCAATACATAATTAAATAGACATAATAAGTATAATTAAGAATAGGATAAACGAGGTACCGAAGGTTGCCTCGTGATACCGGCTCTAAATTTCGTACAGATTCCTTAACTGTGTTGGCAAGCTTGCAACATTTTGGCGCGACTGCGGCGGTCACTATTGTTGGTTGTATTGTCTGCATACTTTTGACTGAATCGTCTGAGTTTCATATCGGTTGATACATCTCTGGTGCTCGACGGTTTTCCATTCATTCCAATTATTTTTAAGAAAGAAACGCTTTTTTGAAACGCAAGGCAGCAAGGCTTTTTATTTCAAGGTTATTCACGCGGTACCACAATTATATCCGAAGTTGGCCATGCTGTCGTTGTGGAATTTTCTTCTTCTTCTAAGTTGGAGCTTGTTTGACGTCATCTGTTTTAATTTTTACCGATTTCTTTTAGATCGACAACTACGACCACACAGCTGATTTCACAGTGATTGCTGACGACTCCCACCCGGAAGTGGCGATGGAGCACCTGCTCTTGGACTGGCACCTGGAACTTCCCAACATCGTCATCTCAGTGGCCGGCAGCGAAAAGAGTCTGGGTATGATAGCCAGACATGCCACCAGGTTCAAGACCGCACTGCTCAAGACAGTCTGTTGCACCAAGTGTTGGGTCATCACAGGTGAACAATGAATGGTTTTTTTGGAATGGCAGCTGTTTTCGACACTCGAGAAGTCTTTTGGTTGCCCCTTTTTCAAAAAATATCCCAAATTGATCCTAATTTTGATACTTTTTAGTTCGTTCATACAGAAGCAAGGAAACTAAAATTCAGGAAAGCCTCAATTTCAACAAATTTGAAGATGAGACACATCACAGTTTTTGATGAAAAAGAATTTTTTTGAAAAAACTAATTTTCAAATGCAACCTTCAAAGTATCTAAATTTCAAATAAGAAGTTCTAATTATAATTGTAGGGGGAACGTCCAACGGCGTGGACAAACTAGTTGTGGACGCTCTTAGAGAAGCCCAACTTCTCTCGTGGATGGGCGGAGATGCTCCCAAATTCCGCATTATCGGGTTTGCTAACTGGAACTGCGTAAAGGGTAAGTTTTCTGATTTAACAGACAAGCATAAGACTGAGATGTTGAAACTATGAGCCTTCGGGGCTATTATTTTCGCTGCATAAACGTTGCGTTAATTTCTAAAATGATAGGTTTTTTTTTGTTCCGTTCACGAATTAATTTAAATTTAACTTTTTGTTTTGATTTAATTTAATATTTTAATTTTTTTTGTTCCGTTTACAAAAAAATAACGGGAAGCACATGTGAATGTCAGATGAGTTGAAGTTATATATAAAATTCAAGCACTTTCAGTTCTGGTGTTATCGATGTCAATTTCGAGTAAATATTCTCGGTGTCGAGAAAAACCGATTCGATTGTTTGTTAAGAAAAACTTAGAGCAAAGAGTAAAGTCCCCTTTGTATTTAATCATTTTGAGTTAGCTATAATACACTTATGATACGTTAAAAAACCATTGCCAGTTTTTTCAACCTTGCTTTCAGTCCCTTTACCTCATTTACCTTATAAAAAACTTAAACTTTTGTTTTTCCACAAAAATAATTAAGGATGGAATTATTACTAATACTTGATTAGAGGATGCTTGATATCTCTTTTGTAGTCATCAAACTTATGGCGTATTCAGGGACGGATCTAAGATTTTCTCGAGGGGGCGGATTTTCAAAAACTTTTTTTTTAGATCCACTAAATTGATTTGCTGAGCTCTCCCAAATCACTATAAAAACCTGATTTTGACCAAAGTTTGTGCGGCGCAGGCAAATTTTAGAAAAAACTGGCCAAAAAATAGGCGTTTTTAGGCACTTTTTGGAAAATTTTGACCAACAAATCAAGTTTTTTGGGCGCGCGCTCCTCCCTGAAAATTAATACATTTTGGCGCCCAAAGGCGCCTTTAGAAATTTTAGGCTCCGTCATTTTGACGGCAAAAATGGATACCTCAAAAGAGTACAAAAGGGGACCCTTTAAGTCGGCAGGTGGTCGAATCCCTGAGTGAGGGGGGCTTCCACCCCCCTTCCCCTAAATCCGCTGCTGGGTGTATTTATGAAGCAGTGTCAAAAATGTGCATCCGCGTTGAACGAAAAAAAGCTTTGAGGCCAAACAATTTTCTCAATTTCAACGTTTCAGAGTATTTGTCAATACAGCCCGTTTTTTTGATACAGCCCATTAAGAGAATTAGATAAGCAAATTATTCCACTCACGCATGCGAGAGACTTATTGTTGAGGTCAGACCATCTCAAGGTCAGACAGATTAATAGAATCATAATCAAAACTGATTAAACTCAGACAAGGTCAACTAGCGACCTCAAACTAATTAATTAGTCTGTATTTAATTAACTGGTAATTTTGTGATGCTTAGTTTGTCATGTCATTTGTATTCACTTCTTTCAATTCATTCTTCAACAATCACTGCATTTTCTCAATCCTTAGTTCAAACCTCAGTTTTTATCTCAGTCTCTAACACCAGCTCTTAATCCTAGTTGCTCTAAATCTGAATCTTAACAGGTTATGGGCCCAGACTTCTAAATTTTTTCTTGTATTAGCTTTTAGCTAGCAGCCTTAAGCAACGATAGACTTGAAACTGGCGGCTTTTGGTGGAGAGTCTGAAGATTTTCCTACTTGTTCGACGAAGTTTGTGGCGCTGATGCACACCAAGGGCCTGTTCAGGTCAGTGATGGGCAATCATGATCTGCCAGAGGCTGAGCCTACTCTCCCGGAGAGTCCGAATGCTGATCAGCAGGCAGCCTACAATTTAAGATGCAGGAGCGAGCAGTGTTGATCCAGCAGAGGAAAGACAATCAAAACACTGTGTGGTCCCACCTGGCTCTGGTGCTCCACAACGCCACTTTGATGTACATAAAGATCAACTGCGTGGGAACAGATGGCTATGGCGATGGGACGAAGGCTTGGAAGCTGCTTCAAGAGAAGTTTTGCAGTGTAGAGAGGCCGACGGTGGTCAGTCTAGTAGGTCAGCTTGCGAAGCTGCACCTAGGATTAGAGGAGGATCTGGACGACTACTTCGTTCGCTGTCAAGAGCTGGTGTTGCGGTTGAGCGAAGCTAAAGAAGTAATCACGGACACACTGTTCAATGCTTTGGTGATCAATGGGCTGCCTGACTGCTAAGAGCATTTTGTGGTGCAAGAGAGCTTTCAACCAGCCAAGACATTTCCAGAGCTGAGAACGAGGTTGAGGAACTACGATGACTCGAGGAAGGCTCGGTGTGAAGAGAGGACTGGACATGGTCATATAGCCATGCAAGCTGTGAGGAAGAAGAAAGGAGTGTCAAGTAGTGACTGCTATGTGTGCGGTCAGAAGGGTCATATGGCAAGGGACAGCAAATCCAAAAGTGACAGCGGACAATCCAAGTGGTCGAACGAAGCAAGTGGGTCAGGAGCAAAGAGGCGAGGGTGCTTGAAGTGTGGGCAACCTGGACATTTCGCAAGGGATTGCAAGCAGGGGAGGACAGGGTTCTTCAGTTGTTCTGCTGCAACTTCATTGAAGGGAGACGCCCTCATTAGGGATACGGAATGCAAGGATCATGTGGTGCGTGACAGGGCTTTTTTATCTAGCTTTGAGAGCTGGACCGAAGAGACAACGGTGGATAACTCCAACGGCACTCTGTCAAGGATTGAGGGCAAAGGATCAGGGGAAGTGGATATCAGGGACTGCCATGATGCTGTGAGGAGCTACAGTTTTCACAATGTGCTGTTTGTGCCGAGCTACAGTGTGAACTTGATGAGTGGACAATTGAGGGGATGGAATAGGTATTCTTAGACTATTTGTATGAGGAAACTTTTGGTAACTCACTCAGAACTACAAAAAAACGTTGACTTTTGTATTTTGCTAAATTATTTTGTGTCACAAATTTAGCTTGTCGAAAATCAAGGTTTTTTATCAGGTTTTTTTTATCAATGTGCTGTTTGTGCCGAGCTACAGTGTGAACTTGATGAGTGTGAGCTCAGCTGTGGCTAGATGCTCAAGCTTCATTTTCGCCGCAGATGCGTCACATCTACTGGCACCAGATGGGGAACAGCTAGCTGTGAAGCAGCGCGGCAATCTTTTCTTCCTTGAATGCAAGTTCAACAGAAATCCGATGACTCTAGTGACGAAAACAAGGAGGGATACCAGTGATGCAATGTTGTGGCCCCGACAACTGGGGCACCTCAACCAGTGGGATTTTTCATCGCTTGTCAATGTGGGCGAGCTAGAGTTCTTTGAAGTGTGTAGAGCTTCTAAGATGCATCAAGTAGCAGCGCCTAAGAAGACTGACAGCAGAGCATCGGCAGTGGGGCAACGGGTCTTCAGTGACATTCAGGGACCTTTTGAAGTACCGAGTACACATGGTGCTCGCTATGCCTTGAGCTTCATCGACGGCTTCATTCGGCTGGCTGTGGTCAAGTACGTGGTGAAGAAGAATGATGCTCTACTGCAGTTCCAGGAGTTTGTGGCTGAGCATGGAGCACCGAAGTGCCTGCGAACTGACAATGGAGGTGAGTAATTGTCAAATATATTTGGGAGATTTTGTAGAGAAATCCAGGTGAAGCAAGAGTTCATTGTGCCCAATACTCCCCAACAGAATGGTGTAGCAGAGCGCTACAACAGTGTGATCACCGAGATGACTCGATGTCTGCTGGCCGAAGCAAAGCTACCGAAGATTTTCTGGGTGCGAGCAATGTCGACAGCTGTGAGGGTTCGCAACTTGTTTCCCACATCCAGCAACGAGGGCGCCTTTCGCCGACAGAGATGCACTATGGGAAACCATCAAAAGTGAGCTCTTTGCGCGTGTTCGGTGCCTGGCGTACTATCTGGATTGAGGCAACAGACGGAAACTGGATCCAAAGGGCGAGAAAAGAAAATTCATCGGCTACGACGAGGAGAGCAAAGCCTACCTGCTGATGGATCTAGAGACAAGACGAGTGGTGCGAGCAAGAAGCGTGACATTCAATGATAACATCATTCCAGATGACTTCATGGCTTACAGTGAGCTATCACAAACCCTGGAGCTATCAATCGAGGGGTGCATTGATATTGAGCAACCAAGCACGACGAAAACCAGCGAAGCACGAAGCGCACCAACTGAGGGTGTTACTGCAGATTCAGTGGGGGCTACTGAGTTAAATCAGGTCGAGGGGGAAGCAGTAGAGTCAAATTCTACTGATCATCCAGTGCAGAGGACAATTAGGACAAGGAACCCACCTATTCGATACGGACAAGCCTATACCCATGCTTCAGTGACTGGAATTCAAGAGTCAATGGGCTATTCAGAAGCAGTCTGGACCCAAAAAAGAGCAGTGGCTGGCAGCAATGGCTATAGAGGTGAAGTCTCTAGAAGCCATGGAAACATGGACACTTGTTGATAGACCAAAATCTCGAAAAGTTTTTCCTGGACAATGGGTTCTTGCTGTGAAGAGAGATGCGATGGGACAAGTGGAGCGGTTCAAAGCCCGATACGTAGTGAAAATGCTCATGCAAGTGGAAAGACTTGACATCAATGAGACGTTTGCTCCGTCCTGTACACCCGAAACAAAATAGATACTGCTGGCTCTGGGGGCACAAGATGATCCTGTACTTCATCAGATGGATGTTAAGTCAGCCTTCCTCAACTCTTCTCTAGCAGCGACAGTGTACATAGAGCAGCCAGAGGGGTTCAGCAGCGGTAACAGCCAAGTGTGCTTGCTACAACGAAGTCTCTACGGGCTGCAGCAGGCTGGAAGAGACTGGTATCAGACGCTGAGCACTTTCCTACTTGATGAAGATTTCGCTAGAAGCAGCAACGACTTCTGTTTGTTCACAATGAGGGGAACAAACAATGCAATGATTTATGTGCTGGTTTGGGTAGATGAAATCATCATTGGGTGCATATTTCAAGATGAAGTTGACAAGCTGAGGAGCCGTTTCTCCGAACGATTCAAGATGGATGACAGAGGCGCATTGTCCTGGTTCCTGTGAATGCAGGTCAAGCAGTCACCTGGGACGGTAACAGTAATTCAATCTCGTTACATCGACGACTTCTTGGAGCGTTTTGTCCTTGCTGAATGCAAACCAGTGGGCACACCAGCCGCCGTCAGCGCACAATTGTCGAAGAAGGGCTGCCCTGAAGCTGGGTCAGCAGAGGCAGTATCCGTGAAGGCTGAGGACTAATGAGCCTTGTGGGCTCATTATTGTACATAGCTAAGCAAACAAGACCTGATATCCTAGCAACTGTGACGCAACTCTCTCGTTTCCTGGAGAATCCGGGAAGGCTGCACTGAGTGGCTGTAAAGAGGGTTCCTCGTTACCTGAAGGGGAGCAAAGATTTGGAGTTGTGCTACGCTAAAGAGAGAGGCCGGTGGTGTAAAACTGTATGGATCCGCAGATGCTGACTGGGCTGGAGATTTCGATGATAGAAGGTCAGCTACTGGCTACAGCTTTCTTTTGCAGAAGGCAGGGGCAGCAATTAGTTGGAGCACCAAGAAGCAACCAACTGCAGCCATATCTACCAGTGAGGCTGAGTACCAAGCAATGGCAGCAACGGTTCAAGAGGCTCTATATCTGCGATCACTGCTCGATGAGATGGGCGTAGTTATTGACGGACCAACTGTCATCAACCAGAGCTGTATCAAGATGTGCAAGAATCCTGTGATGCAGAAGCGAACGAAACACAACGATGTGAAATACCACTTTGTTCGAGAACGAGTGGAAGATGAGACATTTGAACTCCAATATTGCCCTACTGAGTTCATGGAACCTGACTTGTTAACAAAAGCCCTGAGCAAGGCTCAGTTGGAACAGCATCGCCGAACCTTAATGGGTTGCAGCCTGACATTGGACAAAGCCAATTCAGCCTGAGTGGGGGCGTTGAGGTCAGACCATCTCAAGGTCAGACAGATTAATTGAATCATTATCAAAACTGAATAAAGTCAGACAAGGTCAACTAGTGATCTCAAACTATTTAAGTAGTCTGTAATTATAATTAACTGGTACTTTTGTGATGCTTAGTTTGTCATGTCATTTATATTCACTTGTTTCAATTCATTCTTCAACAATCACTACCTCTTCTCAATCCTCAGTTCAAACCTCAGATTCTATCTCAGTCTCTAACCCCAGCTCTTAATTCTAGTTGCTCTAACTCTGAATCTTAACATTTATAACAGTGTCGATGAAATGAAGTTCTAGGCTGACTTTCTAGGAGTTTGTTTTTGTTTAAGGACACGAGAAGCTGGGTCAGATGGTGTACGTGGACCCCAGAGTGACTGGCGAGTATGTGGTGCAGAAGAATAGTCTCACGGAGCTGGAGTTCGAACCCAGTCTGAACCCCATGATTTCCCACTTCTTGTGCATCGAGGGGGGCTTGAAAGGAAAAAAGGTCAGAAGCAGTGTTTTCATTCTCAAACTCGTCGATTTATGTGCACGAATCGAACTGGCAATGGAGTTTTTGAGTTAGTTATTGACAACCGTGGCATTTCAGTGTTATATCAAATAGAGTTACAATGCAACGTCACAAGCAGTTTATAAACGAACTAGCAGATGTGAAAATTTCACAAAAAAGTTATTAAATTGCTCAAAATTTCCATAGAAAAAATGCCATTGCCTATATCCTATTTTGAATTGTAGAGTGTTGATAGGGGCAGGAAGTGTTTGTGCGGAGTGCGGTTGAGGAGACGCTGGCAGGGGCGGCGGAGGAGGAGGCGGTGACTGGATTCAGTGGGTATGGCATCCCCACAGTCCTCATCCTACTCAAGGGCGATTTCGATGTGTTCGAGAGGGCTGCAAATGCTGTGTGCAAGGGTAAGTTACATATATTTATGCTCGGAGGAAAGATTCAGAACAGAGTACGTATAAGGAAGTTTCTCGACAACTTACTGGTAAAAATCTCGTTGCCGCCATCTAAATAGACCCACAACGGGAAAAAGTCATTTGTCTTTTTTTCACAATTTGCGTTATCCTTGCATATGGTTAACTTCTTTTCTAGTCAAGCTGCTGGGAGGCCCAACCTGAAGGTTAATTATTTGGGTTGACATGAGCGCATATAAGCTGATGTCTTACTTGCAAAAGCTCAAGTGATTGCTGGACACCATCACTACCGGTTTCCTGTCAGTTTGAATTCAGATGAAAATATTGCTATCATTTTATAACACCACACAGTATAATTTAATCCGGGCATTTGTAGGTTTTAGATTATACTTTTGAGCGTGAAGTATAACAAATTCTTTGAATAATTACCAGATACTCAATTTATTTACCTTCGACAGATCAGCCAGAAACAAATTGAAAATTCTTACCTTTGATACTGCATCGAATTCAGTTTTTATTTAGGCATCGGCATTGTGATCTGCGAAGGCCTCGGAGGAGCTACAGACATCCTGTACTATGCTTTCCGGATGTCCAGCAAGAACTCCCCCTCTGTCATCCTCTCCCCGATCCAACAGTTGAAGGTGATGAGACTCATGGAGGCCATGCACAAGAGGAAGCTACTTTCAAACCTCTACTCCAAAGAACCATTCGAGGTCCGCTCCACAGCATTTTTTCCAAACTTAATTTTTTTCTCAGCTACTCCGACTGAACTTCGAATCCATCCCATCACTTCGTAAATATTCCGCACAAGACGACATCTTTTTGGTCTGATTGATTGTTTTTCTTCTACTGAGCAGACGTCAAGACAAAATGCAATAACTTCGCGTCCAGGCAAAATTCAAGCAAAGCCTACCTACTGCTTTTCATAGTCAACGTTTTGTAATTGTTGGTTCATTGTTCCGACTTTCGTAAGGGAAGTAACGGAATAATTGTGCTCGGTGTGGGTTTTTTTCTTCAGACAAACTTCGACATTTTAACTAGCCATTTTTGACGGAACTTTTTAATATGTAATTCAATAACTATTGTTGTCTTGAGCTTAAATTCTAAAAGATATTTTACCTGTGATTATTTTTCGTAAAGTAATGAGGGTTTAAAGATGGCCATTTTGGCCAATTTGGGGACAATTAACGCTTGATAAATATTTCGCGCTATTAATGCGTAAGCGAGATTTAATCCGTCTTATAAATCGTTCCAAATTATTTGAAGGTAGCTTATATGCATGCCATAAATGATTTGTTAATAGGTGCAAAATCTATTACTTTTTTCTTAATATGACGTGTGGGGTATGGTTTTTACAAAATAAATCTCAAACTAACAAAAAATTCAGTTTTTTACTTTAATTTTTTCACGTTATTACTGCTCCATAGACTTTAAAAAGCAGTCGAATCGGTCAGGGCTTCGCCTTGATACGAGTTGCTCGAAATTACTGTAAAACAAAGTTTTTTGTAATTTTTTGTCACAATGTGTGATAACTATCATTAGATTTACTATAACAATGATATAAAACTGCAGCTAATTTTAGCGTTTCTGTGTTTTGTATTTGAGTTCTGAAAGTATCTTTACTTCATCGAACGTTTGTAAAATGTTTTTAGTTATTTTTTGTAAAGTAAATGATTTTTTAAAGTTTCAATTACAGAAAAAAGGCTTCTAGTTTCGGCTACATGGTGTGACAGAATTTCGTAGAAGAGTCAAGGTGTACAGGGTAGAGCACGGACACAAAACCAGAACGAAAAAAAATCAATCTAGTGTTATCGAATTTAGTTCTCATTCAGTTTTGATCAATTTTTGATAGCTTTTTTTAGTTTTGGAACTTTTAAAACTTATTTAGTTTCAAAAAAATAATTAATGACATTTTCCAAACGTTCGATGAAAATGTAGATATTTTCATAATTCAAATGCAAAACTTGCAAACTCTAGATTTTTGTGCCAAATCATCGCTAATGAAAACCTAATGATAGTTATCACACATTGTCACAAAAAGCACAAAAAATGTTTCTTACATTAATATTGAACAGCTCAGAAAATCAAATGCGTCGACAAATACAAAACCGTATAAAAAATTGGCTATGATAAACAGTGCAAAATTTTGCTTATTAATACATAGCGAATAGAAATTTGGAAAGTATTAATCAGCCCAAGAAATCCAAAAGGGAATGATACAAAAATTTTCAGCTTTCGAATTTCGGAGCAAAAACATTTTTTCACGTTCAAAATACTTTTTTTGAATTTCAAAAACTCTATCAAACTTTTTTTAACAACGATGTTCAAAGAATTTATCACGCAACAGATTTCTTGAAATTCAAGAATCTTTTAAGAAAAGGAGTTTTCGATAAAAAATGACCCTATTAGAGAAAACTCATTAAAACTCATTTCTCTTGTCAAAAGTAGTTTTTTTCCGCTAAAAATTCTGAAATTTAATTTTTGTAACGTCTGTGTTTTGTTCCGCCTAGCAATTTAATCTTGGAACTGAATTAAAACCAAACAAGGATAGCCGATTGCTGTGCAAGCAGAATGTGCCGACCACATTTTCAGAAAAAAAAGCTTTTTTTCTTCAAATTAGTGTCTTTTTTGTACGTCGTGAGATGATACAACTATACAAACCCGTAAAAAGTGAATTTGTCATGAACGATTCTAATGGTCTTCAAAAATTAAACAAAAAAAATTCGAAAACTTTTTCAATATTTTTAATTATATTTTTGCACTGAAAGTTTGAAGTTTTTTTGAAAGATAATTTTTGCCAACGAAGAATCACATCTAAGAAACGTTACTCGATTGCTTCACTCGCTCGAAAATAGACAAAAAAATCAAGCATTTTAAACAGGTTTTTCTCGACACTACGAAAAAAGTTTGAAAGATCTTTCTGAATCACGACTAGAAGGGTTTTAATAAGATGTATCATTCGACCCAGTCCGATTATTTGTGGTACCTGATTTTGCATGGAACACAAAAAAAGTTGAAAAAACAAAAACGGCTAGAGATGTGTAATTTTTAGCCTCTTTACACAAGGGTGATCGGATCACACACCCGAATACCAAATTCCTCCCCGTGATCGGATCACATTTATAATCAACAAACCATTGAAAGCCTTGGAGAATCATCTGATGGTTCTATGTTTTGTTACTTGTTAGAGAGCTCATTGATTTGTGATTGGCGCCTGATTATTTACCACAGCAGTGCTACAAGTTTAACCCAATGCTGATCTAGTATCCCTGTTTTGACCGCATATACCATGGCATAAAAGTAGTAGCAAAGAAAGATCTATTTACGGTCAATGTTTTCGCGAGTATTCTATGAAATGTTGCTTTCTAATTGAAATCCTAGCTGTAGTTCATCATAATTTTTTATGATCACATTGATTACCCTAAGCACACCTAAATGTAAGCACACCTAAAATCAAAATATTGAAAAAAGTCCGGCCTCGACCAGAGTTTTTTCGCCTTTTTGAAGGGGTTGAGGAAAAACTTATTCTTATTCAAACTAGATAAATTTTAAAAGATTG